TTGGGGGGTGGGGTGGGTTGGTGGGTGTTGGTGGGAATGGGAAATAGGGTAGAGAAAGTTGAAAAAGAGTTTTGAAAAATATTTTCACTTCTTTTGATAGGGAAAACATTTAGTTCAGTGGGAAAAATATTATTCAAAACAATTAAGCCAACCAAACATGGGAAAATTGGAAAACATTTCCGAAAAATATTTTCCTTCGTACGAAACACACCCTAAAGGCATGAATTTGTAGTCTTGTTCAAGAAAATACTTCTTCAAACACTTGCAGTGTCATTAGAAGAAACCCATTTACCATCAATCCAATCTTGATGTACTCTAAAATCAGTTATGTCATTTACACATTCGACCACAAAGGTTTTCAAAGTATACAAAATACTTAGTTCCAATCTTACCAGTGATTTTTCCAAGCCGCCGCCCATCATTATCGAAAGCATCAACTTGATCATACAAGTTTCCTGATTTGGTCTCCCTGAATGACTAGGAATAAGCTTTCATAACGTTCTTTATTTCTATTTACTCTGCTTGATTTATTTTACCTTCCTAATTTGTTAGGAATGGAGTTGAATTGGACGGCAAGTAACTATACTATTCGTAGTCAACCAAGAGGGAGAAATGAGAGTAAAAAGGGGAAGAATAATAATTGCTTTCTTCAGAAGCATCTGGATTAATATACAACAAATGTAAATATAAATATCATAGTAATATTGAAATCTAATATTAAGTTGTGCCTATAAGCTAAAAAGAAAAAAAAAAGTTTTAGTAATCAAAGGTCTTCCCGAATATAAGCCGTGTCCGTTTGATTTTAAAATTTTAGTTAAACGTTTTCTCCAAGAAACTTTTCCAAAAACCTTCCAAATTCGATTTTCTACAACGTTTCCAAAGTGAAAAACAAATGTCAATGAAGTACTTGCACCCCTTCTTTATATTAAGCAAGCATTCTTTGACTATTTCACGAAATACTTGCTATCTCCCACCAATATATATATATATATAGTAACTTTGTCCACAAAAGTTAAATATTATACTCTAAATTAAATTATAAGAAAATTAGTTTAGAGATATTTGAAGTTAAATTCTTCAATCAGTAATTGTACACACAAACATCCAAATCCTGCGCCAGTGTATCTTCAATCAGCATAATTGTACATAAAGAAACTGCCGTACGGCTTGAGACAGCGCAAAGGCACACGACAAAGCTTTAGAAAAGATGGATAACAAAGAGCTCAAGTGTGCTTAAAGAGACTTTGCCTCCAGAAGAATATAAAGAGATAGTCTAGGGGCATTGAATTTGTTTGAAGAACGAGGAACTTGAATGTTACAATCATTATAGAGAACATGAGTTGACTTTTTTCTTTTCTTTTTCTTCTCACTTTCTTTAAAATGCTAAAAGAATAACTGTACAGATCAAAGAATTTTACAGAGTACACATGAGATGTTATCATCATTTTGTATTAACAGCTCTCTCTCTCTTCTTTAAGGAGAGCAGTGTTGATCCTCACACTTAAGCAGAGCCATCATTTGAGACCTTGAAACGCTTTGCCTGTTATTGAGGACATCAATGTAATTTTGAAGCCTATAACGATCCGAGTTTGTTAGAGAAAATGGAGGATTTAAAATCAGAGATGGTGCTTCCACTTGTAGGAATTTTAACAAACGCACAGCTTTTGAATAAAATACCACTGCATTTTCAGTCCGACCCATGTACTCATCAACCTGCCACAGTATCATAACTTCTGGTAAATGGTTCAGTTTAATATTAGGTCTCACTAAACAGAAAATTTCACAGATAGGGATTGTTGTCTTCTGAAAGAAGAAAGAAGAATCGTCTAAACCAGGAGGAGGACAAGGTGATTACACACACGAAAAGATTTTCAGATTTTTCTAAGTCCTGAAGTTTTATGATGAGGGTCACTTGTTTATGTTGGAATTTTGTGGTGAACTTTAGTTCAACAGAAACAACAATATAGACCAAGATAAAGAAAGAAGATACAGAACACTTACAGCTCCCTTTCTACCCAAAGCCAGGGCAGATTGAAATATCATCTCCATTGCATCTGGCACCACTGAATTTCCTGAGAACAAACAACAGCACAAGCAAGCTCTTTATCTTTTTGTCTAAGAACATAAAAGGCAGTCCTATGCATCATACTTGAGCAAAAAACTGAATATATTCCTATGCCGAAGTATCTGGGATGTTTTGCTTGCTCTTTCAATCTAAGTTGCTCGGACACGGGTGCAGGTGTCCGACATGGGTGCGCATCTAGAGGTCGGATCCTTCGAGATGTAAAGTCTAAGATTCAGGGATATGGATCCTAGTGCGGATACGGGTGCGGGGATCCGGCTAAAAATAATTCAAATAATATAAAAATATATCTAAATTATGAGAAATTTTATGGAATACTTATGTATAGCTTGTAAAGTGTGGACTTCTTTTTTATTCTCAAGTTGTAGATAAGTAAATGATTGATTTCCTAGATAAGATATGCTATTTTCTTCAAATTTATCCTAGTTTTGGTTCTGATTTCGGGAATCAAATTGTATCTCGTCTCGAATTTTTTCGTCCGTTGCGGTCAAAGTACCCAAAATTGTTAGATCAGATCCGGTACGGATCCCATACCCACAACCATACTAGTGTCGTGTCGACATGGGTATGGCACCTAAACTGCCATGTCAGACGGAACAACTTAGCTTTCAATCACTGAAGTAAAAACAATAGCTAAGAATAACATTTAATGCGCACAAATATGAAAATACCAAGAAACAACTACAAGATCAACAGATGGCCATTCTATCCAGTTCAAATCTTCCAAGTTATTTTGCAGTAACACATTAGATTGTTGATAAAACTAGTTTTATCTTAAGAGACCATCAAAATTACTTGCATAATTTCATCTTAATAGTAGATGTGGAAGCAAAAGTTTGCCAGGTGTGTTAAAGGAACTCATGAATTATTGCAGTAGAATAGATAGAGGAAACAGGAAACAAAATGTCACAAGAACAGTTGCAGTATCACACATAAAGCACACAGAGATTGAAGAAAAAGGGGAGGGGTACAGGCGTACAGCACAAATTGGCAGTAGTTAGTAACCGAGAATATACCAGGCTCTATATGTTTGGCAAGTTCCTCTGCATTACCAACTTCACTAAGAAATGCTTTTTCAATATGAGAGCATACATTCTCCGGCCCCAAAATGTTAGTAGCATCAAGATGCTTTTTTATGTTAAGACTAGCTTGACCTTTCTTCATGATTTCCCTCAATCTGATAGTTTCTTGGTTTGGACTTCCTTCAATTGCCGACGCCGCTTGCGTATGACAAATATCCAAAGCTTGCTTCCATATAGCAAGACTGACTAGCTGAATTGAAAATGCTTCCAGATGCCTGCTTGCCTCAACCTTCAAGAGAACACAATAACTATTAGAAGAAACATACCAGAAATGAACCAATAAGAGCATAGATAAAGGATAGACAGCTAAGCCTAAGAAGAGTCAGCAGACAGATTAGAATATACAAATATCTATTGAGCACCAAAACTTGAAGGCATAGATTAAGAGAATATATATCTTCACAGCAAAAGGTAGAAGACCACACAGTTTACAATTCAGATCACCAGTTCCCAAGCACTTACCAATTACCATCACCTGATATCAGCAAGGTGAGTGCAGTGAATGATGAAAAGTTAAATCAGGTGACACTCATAAACAAACAAGGATCAAGATTGGCTCAGAGATGAAATTTGGACTATAAGACTTGATTTTGCTGATAAATCTTTCTTCAAATGACCTTTTCATTAAAAAAAATCAGAAGATCTTTCTTTTCTTGTTCTTTTTTTAGCTCTCATGAAAGTGAGCTCGGCCAAGTCAAAACTAGGTCAGACACTTGCATTTTTGGGTATTTTCTTATTCCATCGAAACTCTGTATCTCACCACTTTACACTTTCTAGTAAGTCTATATCCCAAAGAAAAAGTATCACTATCTGATATAGTTTATTTGAGAGATTTTATTGTGCAATCTGATGAATCAATGTTCTATATTTTTGTTCCATAAATCATTGTTCAAATTCATTTTAGAAGCAGAAAGGCATGTAATCAACGTTTCCATTTGCCTGGAGCAGTAAATAAATAAACCTCATAGAAGAATAAATCAATAAATCACAATGGAATGTTTGAGGGAACAACTAAGGTTGGCTTCATGAAATTCTTGTTAATGTTTCTTCAGGAATTAAAAGGTCGAGTTACGTATGTAAAGATGCAGCTCATTGCTGAAGCAACCCGAGTACACATTAAACACCACATATTTGTACAAAAAGAAAAAGAGATGCTTCTAATTCAGGTAGCTGCACACCGAGTAAATTGAGTCAAACATACTATGCAAGATGTTCACCAAGGTTTAGACATTCCATGAGATTTACCGGCCAGCACAATAAGAAAGCTTGTATCAAGGATATGAAATACATTAGAATAATCAAATTTTGTTCCTATAAAACAACTACAACAGGATCTGCAAGAATAGAATATATTTAGATGACTCTAACTTGAGCAAACATATTAGACTCCTACAACTGGGGGTAACCAAATCAATGGTGTAAACAGTAGCAAGGCTGTTGTAGAACTGGTAGTGCGGTAAATGAAGCATGGGGTTAAAGCTTTTCTAAATTTTATAAAATATGGTAAATTTCATTAATAGAGTACCAAGAAGATACTGCAAAAGTACAACAATTAGATTATGAATGAGCTGTCTCAGCCTCAGCCACAGAGAAAGCAAAAAATCTAAATACCCATATCTTCTACCATGCTCTTCTTACAGAAAGAGTATAAATTCAAAGCTAAATAAATGAGATCAGGATCTACAAGAAAGTAGGCTAGAACTTATTCTCTCCCTGCACCCCTGCATGCTATATTCGCAGATTGACACATGCAGTTTTACAGAAAATGACATCACTATGAGTTACCTTCTCATTTACTAATTCCATGATAGCAGAGGCAAAATGTTGCAGGGACTCTATTCTGGCCATGCCATCGGTTGGCGGCTGCTCCAAACGGTTTATGATATCTGTGCATCCTTGTGAACTTCCAGGTGCAGATGAGGGACTTTCCAAACTTCCTAAATGATCTATTCTACTAGTTGGAGGACCAATAATAGGCACTGGGTCACTTGGTCTAGGATCTAAAATCGCAGATGCTTGCAGGGAGCTGCTTGATCTGAATGGCATATTGCTAAGCCTAGAAGCACCTGCTGAAGAATATGAGTCCATGGGGGGCCCAGAAACAATGACATAGTCCTGATCAATCAACTCAAACGAATCCACCACTGTTGAATGGAGTGAATACCATAATCAGAATAGGTATCAGCCAAAACTATAGATCCAAGCAAAACATAGATTTCCTCAAAATTCTAGGCAAATGGAAATTGGGAAGAGCGTTGCAAAATAGAACCTTTTGAACGAGTAGTAGCTTGCCTATGGTCCTTCAAATTAATAGATTCCCTCAGGTTCCCTTCTGTATGTCTGTGGCTCGAGCCAATACTATCTGTTTTGAGTGGGGTATTACTAGAACCTTCTTTCCTCTCAGCTTTTGCATCATAAGAAAATCCATGTGACAACCTCTGTGGTAATCTCCCAGCAAATGAAGGAGTACCATCAGGAACGCTGGAATCATCATCTAGACTAAAGGGTAAACCATCTTCTTGAAAAGTTTCCTCTCTGTTCCTCACAGGATAGCCTTCTGATATAGGAAAACCACCTATTACCCTTTGAGGTCTCCTATCCCTGCTGACAATATCCACACATCAATCAGATCTAAAGATGAACAATATGTACTAACGATAACTAGATTTCATTAACCACATTACCAAGACAGCTTATCTGGCTGCTTCTCTGCAAGAAATGGGTGGTTAAAGAACTCTTCAAATGTCAACCGCTCCACTGTTGATTCATGGAATACACCAAAGACAAGTTTTGAAATTTTAATGAAAATTGTCGGGTAATGAGAATTCCGGATTTATTATTGTTAAGGTAAATACTGAAAATCATGCAAAATCCTCTCTATGTGAAAGGTTCAAAATGGCTAAGCGTGTAGGAAACAATGACACAAGTATACTCAAGACTGTTTGTGAAAGATTTTATACAGTTAAAATCTGGACCACTCAAATGACGTACCTGGATTACGGCGCAGCAATTTTTTACACAACTCTATGCAGTTAGAACTTAAATTTTTTGCATTTGGAGGAAACAGCAATTCAGTGGACTTTAATATGTTCTGGAGCAACTGCAGGAAAGATGGAGGGAAAAAGTTTAGAACTTTGTGTCAAGAATTTTAATATCGCCGATCAAATTGAACTGGAAAAGTGCCACTATAAGAAGCATGCTTAGCTTAGAAGATATTAAACCTGGATTTGATTGTTTCCGGTAAATGGGGTTTTGCCTGTTACAAGCTGAAACAGGATGGCACCAACGCTCCAGAGATCTGCCTGCGTTTGCAGCCAAAAGTTAATAGGAACTTGAAATGATACTACTCCTATTAGACTATGGATGGAAATCATAGAAAGAGTATATCACCTTTGCATCATACTTTTGAAGTTGCATTATTTCTGGAGCCATGTACAATGGTGAACCACATAGTGTTTCAGCAAGGCCCCTAGGTTGCAAAGACCTAACAAAAGAGAGGTGGTTTAAGTCATTATGAATTTTGAACGGACCACCCACCACTTAGGAAACATTTAACCAGTAAGCTTGCAGCTTAAACAGAGGGGGAAAAAGAAGGAAAGAAATTCTGGCAAAAGTGTTCTTAATGGCAGATGAACTGCTGGATCTTAGGTCATTCAAAAGAGGGAAGGGGAGGAAGAGAGGTACATCAGCAGAAAGACATTTACCATATGGGCAACTTTACCTTGCAAACCCAAAATCAGCAATCTTCAAGGTGGAGCTGTCATCGTTTGAGGATAAGAGGAGATTCTGTTGGATCAAGAAAAAAGGAACAAGTCAATGAATTGACCATTTCCACTTACCAAACATGCAAATTCTCAAAAAAATTAAGAAGTAGTGCTGTCGCCAAAAATGAAAAATTACAAAAAGAGACATGCAAGAACTCACTCCTAGAAATCAAATCATTAGCTCCCTCAACTAGAATCTACTAATTTGATGATATGAAACCTACATATCTGTTCAAAGAGACTCATCTCCTTTGACGCCTTCCTTTTCCTTTATTATCTTTTTGAAGAGTATTGTCCTCAGCAAATGTGATGATTATTCAAAATCTCTGTATGAGACATGCGATTGCTATCTGAAAATGAAGCAACTGCATGCCTCAATTACCTCCGAGTGATGGAGTCATGTGAACCATTTCCAATCTGTGGTTTATGCACTAAAAACTATCAAATACTTGGCTCCTTTTGATGATTAGTACAATATATGCTAAGTGCTAGGTGGTGCACAACTAACGGGATAGTCTCTTTGCAGCTCACTCGTTTTTTAATATTTTTACGCCTAGAAAAGCTAGTATGATAGTCATTAGATGCCCATGAATATCAATAAGAACTACGGCAGAATCACCTGAGGCTTATGAGGAATCAGCAAATTTTAAAATTTCAGAATAGAAGAGGAGAAGGAAGCCAAACCTGAGGCTTTAGATCCCTATGTATTAGATTGTTATCACGGAGGATTTTTAAACCAGATGCTGCAGCAAATACATGAGCATGAACGTTAATATGTTTAAGTTCATGTAATAGTAAAAGGTCATTCACTCTACATGCGAAAAAAGGAAGTTGGGCAAAAGAAACAGAAGGTTCAGACAAACCAAGTTGCTGCATAAAATGTTTTGCAGTTGCTTCTGGAATTCTCCCTTGTCGTTGTTGAATGTACATAGAAAGATCACCTCCTCTACAGTACTCCAAAATAATGTATATTTTTCCCACCTCCTATATCCCATTCACGAGGTTTCATTTAGATCAAAAAGGAAAAGAAAATATATGTCACAAGCAAAATAACATATCATTTCTTAACAAAGCAGATTCTTAACTAAGCAACATTGTGCACCCAAATGATCACAAAACTTTAGACTATAAACTAAGCAAAGTAACAAAGCTGGGCTATGCTCCAGCAGAGTCGCAGATACGATCTCAAATACGAAGGTCTAGAGTCAAACACCCTGCCATGGTTAGGCATAAAGCTGAATTTGCTCAGTTCTAGTTTCCACAGAACTTACTGAAAAGCTATTCTTCCTGAGATTATACGGAGAACTAATCCCATATTCCTTCTATAATGTTTATAGAAACAAAGCTATACACTTTCTTTATGACAATACGAAGACAACTAAACAGGTAACACATAATAAACATTTTCTTTATTGAGTTCCTTCTTTCTACTGAAGACTTTCACCAAAAAGATATTATCTCAAGTCTCAAGCAAAATGAGCATAATCTATACTGCTCAAAGTTCCAAATGCAAAAATTATAATATCCCCGCAGTCCGTGCATCCAAATAAGCAATAAGATAAACCTCTATTCCCAGTATTTAAGTTACATACACTCACAATTTACAGATTTTTTACACTATCAGCGTAGTAGCAGGTTACTACCATTTTTATCAGGTTATTAATTAACGCTTATATAGAAATTTACCTGATTTTGTATACATTTTGTTATGTCGTAAGTGCATATAACTTAAACTCTATTTTTCCAATGGCTCCATAGACTCACACAAATACCTAAATGATATCACTAAGCTACAATTCGAATATAAATTCTAGCATTTCTTAGCAGAAATATGCATAATTCCTTAATTAACACAAACATAAATGTATTCTGAAACTGAATTTGATAATAAAAAACCTCGATCATGTCGTGGAGGCGAATGATATTAGGATGATTGATCTTCTGTAAAATTACAATTTCGGACTTGAGACTATCCTGAAGCTTATTATTAAGCCGAGCCGTGACGATCTCTTTAATAGCCACTTCGGTTCCGTGAGCTCGGTGCCGAGCATGCCACACCGTCGAGAAAGAGCCGGCGCCGATTTGCTTCCCCACTACATAGTTCCCTACCACACTCCTTCCCCCTCCTCTGCTCATCGACTGAGCCATCAAAACCCTAACCGAATTTCCCAAACACGGCCTTATCAGAAAGCTGAGTCTATACAACCAAACACGGCCTTATCAGAAAAGTCCACAACGGTCAAATTCAATTACGGGAGGTTTTTGAGCTTAGTAATGAACTATGGGTTATGGTGATGGTGATTGAGCTTTGAAATGATTGAGTGTTATAAAAAAGGAAAATTAACGGAGTTAATCTTGATTTTAAAACTTAATTTTTTTTTTTNATATTTTGTTAATAATAATGGGGTGACATCATATTGATCGTGAGAAAATAGAGGGCACTTTTTCTTTAGTTTGAATTTGAATCATAGTGAGCTCTTTTCCGCAAAATAGAAGATAGAGAAAAATGTATTGTTTACCCGTAAAACGGTACAACTGAATTTATAACGTGATTTATAGATAATTAAATCGATTTGATTCAAGAATGATAAAGAAATAGGAACAAAAATAAAATTAACGACTGAAATTAAAGAAGATGACAAGCCTAACTTTTAGTTTATTCTTTTTGAAAGCAAAAGTAAAAGCAATGATAAAACTGTTTAGATTGAGCGTAAAATAGTAGATTACAACTTTTGTGTACAGAATCTTTCATGTCCTACAATGGTTTTTAATCCTGCTATTTATAGTTATACTTAAGGAGACAAGATCCTAAAATCAAGCTCCTCTTGAATGAGAATAAAAATATCATTGATAGGTGCATAACGGCTGGCTTTGAATGTAGATATTCTCTGTAGCGGTTGCTCACTGAATATTATCCGATGTCAAACCTTTGAACCTTTATCATCGGTTATGCTTCTTTCGAGATCCATCCTGTACCGGTTACATACTTCGTACCCGGTGCCAATTATTTGTTGACTCATCTTTTGCCTATCTTCGGTTCCACGTGTCACCTCGCCATTTGACCACCCGTTATCAACCGATTTCACCTCATACAGATAGTCCCCCTACTTTCCGGTGATACAACTCAGTGTTATCGGGAAGTAGATGAGCATTCTTTTCTTGGCGGGAAAATTTCTGAATAGTCGCTGACACTTGAAGAGACGCACGTCTTCTCGCATTTAATATCCCGAACACGTTTTGCCCCGTGATTCATCAAGTATTTTCGCCAGGTTTTGAGATAATCATGACTACGATTTTTCCCGTTTATAACTCTGCTACTCATCATTTTTGTTTCTTCACTTTCACTACTTTCACAATACTTTCTCCTTCTTTGAATCTCCTTAGAGCTTTTTTGCAAAACTCAACTCTTTCAATAAAAACCTCTTCACAAATTTCTTATCATCATGTCTTCTCGTCTCCGTCGTCTCTGGAAATTCTGGTTTTGTCTTTGGTGAAGGTCCAAAGAAAAACAAGAACAAAGTGGTTGATATCGAATCTGAACCTCTGACCGTAAACACCATCATACCACTCCATCTTAGCATTGCATACAATCTCCAAGAGCAAAGTGCACCTGCAAATTCCCAAAGTAGCAGGTTTTGGCCAGTTTGTAGGTACTCCTCATCCATCTGTCCTCCTAACATCCCCATTGTAAAGGAGGACTACAACTGTAGTAATGTTGAAATTTTTTGCCCTAGATGGGGTAGAACAAACCTTGGAGTCGAGTGAAGGAATCGACCCAATAATTCTAGAATTTTTCTACCGGTACCAGGTCTGTTTGGCATAAGTAGGCCCATCCATATCTTGCACGGTGGCCTGCCTTCGTCAGTTGTGCGCCGAGACTAGGAAAACCCTAGGTCTCGCACATATTATGAATCTTTACTCCCCCAAGATTTTTCGTGGGGGGTGTTAAACTTCAGCAAGTGTGGTCACCATGCTCTTCTCACCAGTGTAGATGATGACAATATTATGGATGGATAGAGCGGTTTGTTGTTATTGCTATCGGGGACATCATCCAGACCATAGCTCCAGCTTTCCCCCAATCATAGAATCTTTTCTGTAAGTCTTAGGATGTACGTTTCCTTTTTTCGTAGAAAATCATTTCTTAGCTGAGTTTTTTTACTCCCTTCGTTTCAGCTACTTGCTGGGAACCTCCACGGGTTTACGGTCTAGACCGATGGATTCAGAAAATTCTAGATATTACAACTCCAGAATCTCGACGGTGGAAAGAAATGGCTCCCAAATACGGGTGGAGAGCCAAGAACCATGGTGAGCAAAATCCCTCTTTCTTTAAATGTCATCTGCATAAAATAGTTTAAGAACAATTTAATAACCATTTTTCTGCTTGTATAGAGCTTCTGAGGGGTTCCGTCGTGTGCCTCGATGTCGACGTTCTCGATGACCCCGAGAAGGCCGAGCGGGTACTGCAGAATGCCCTTAACCGGAGAAAGGCTCGTGGATCTGCTCAAGCCTCCGAAGAGGTTGCCTCCTCTCAGAGTCCCCAATCGAGCTGGCCACAGTTGTCCTCGATGATGAAGAGGAAGCCAATGATGAAGAGGCTTCCCTTCAAAGAAGAAAAAGATCTTCATCTGCTCAACCGGATGCTCAGCCGGGGGAGCTCCAAAACCCACCAACAGAAGAAGTTCAGGCACTTTGGGGGAAATGGATTTGGTTGAGAATGTCAATTTTTTCCTTTTCCAACCCCCCTTGCCATCTCCGATCAGAGGAGCTCGGCCCCTAACCTCTTTTTGACACCAACTTCTGAGCAAGCAACAACTACTATTCCTTCTGCCATATATGCTTCTTCTCCGTCCATACCAACAGCTCCTTATCCACCAACACCAGATTCCCCTTCTTCACCAATACCGGCTACTTCTCTTCCACTGGCTTCAGCCGAACAAGTAGGGAATGCTTCTTCTCCGAGGTCTCCGGACCACAGGAACTTAGGAAACACGTACTCAACTCCTTCTCAAGATCTTCGTTGTAGGTGAAGTGCTACTCTTTCGATTTCGAAAGAGTTCCATATTCTAGCCAAGCTGGTGGAACTTGCTAATTACCTGAAGCCACCAGCTTCGACGAAGGACTGGAAAAAGATGGACTTCCTTTCTAAGAAATGCCTGATAAGCAACAATATGCACTGCTCGTGTAGGTAACAATCTCGCCTTTTTCTATCTTCTTTCCATTTACACTTCGAAGTAGTAATCTTGATCTTATCCCTTTCTCAAGCTAATCTTCTCGCCTCTGAGGGCCTGCAAAGGTTGATTATGGACAAGCAAGAGCTTGCTTCAGAACGAGAACAACTGTTGGTTGAGAGGAATTAGCTTGCTGAGTGTCTCCTAGTGTTAGAGGCCAAAGTTGCTCAAATGGATGAGCTCGAGGCCCGATTGCAGGAGTCAGAGCAAGATAGGATGTCTCATAGCCAAGAAGCCACCTAGCTTCATGAGCACTTAAAGGAATTAAAGGCCAAGTAGGTGTTGCAACCAAAACACTCACGCAAGTGTACGCGATCTTCAAGTAATATAGTAATAAGTAGAGTATCGTTCCCATGAGGACATATGATTAACTTAACGACTGATGCAAACTCAAACAATTATCGATTCAAGCTAATTCATCACAAAATACATAAATAACCAATTTACAATTTAACTAGTAGACAAACAATAATACAATGCAAAGTTACTATGCCACTTATGAATTTTTCTTTTAACAATTAATAAAAGAGATATCCCGGGGTTATGGGCTTGCTAGAGATCATGCTACGTTTTTAGCTTAAAAATGATTTATTGAATTATCTGGGTTATTGATTATAGGGTTAATAATACCCATAAGAATCTGTCGATTTCTTATGCGCCTATTCAAGTTAAATTAATACCTATATTTCTATGGTATTAATATTAACTCAAATGCATTTACAAATCCTATTTCTCAACCAAACAAGGCAATTAAGTATAGTTCTATCTTAATCGCGAATCTTTCACCCGATGCCCAGGATCCAGATCTTGCTCTATTTGATTCTATATGCAATCAAGAATTTCCTTTTTCAAGTTTAACTCAAGATTCGTAAATAGTATTTCACTGTTAGCTACGCAGTAAAATAATTAACAGCAGAATCAAATAAACAACCCTTAACGATAAATTCAAGATCATCAATCTAAGCTTCAAACAACATAATCATCTAACACCCACAACCCCAGAATATTTGGGTTTTTAGCCACTCATAATTATACAAGCATCAACAATATAAGTCTTAAACATCAAATAAATAGATACTAGAAGAAAGTTTAGAAAAACTCTTTTAATCCTTGCTCCAAAGTATTGTCTCCTCTTGATTTTGATCCTCCAAGATGGATTTCCTCCTCTTTTTCTCTCTCAAAAACAGTCTGGTCCGTCAATAATGGATGATTTCCCCTTTTTTAATCGTGTGTGAAGGGGTTTTTGACAATTATGCCCTTTTTAGATCGAAATAGCGTAGTTCTGCGATTTTTACACGTCCGCGGCGCCCCATGCGACGCCCCGTGCGCCACGTACATGGATTAGACAGAGGCAGAATGCATTTTAACAGAGCAAAACAATGCAGCGTAGATTTTTGCACTGCCGCGGTGCCCCACGCGGCGCGCCCCGCGGTGCAGCAATGTATTTTTCTGCGATGCTTCATTTTTTCTCTTGTTTTTCTATCCGGGCTTGCTTTGCGACCCCCGAACACGATCCCGACTTGATTTATTTAGCTTTTACTCAGACTTCAAAGCCCCAAATTAATCAAATTCATCCCAAAGTTAATTCTTAAGTCGGATTAGCTTCCTGCAAGGCATAAAGCATGAATTTAGTACAATTCATTATTATTTAAGCTCAAACCTTTGTAAAATGCAATAATTAAAGTGTTGTTACAATGACTAAAATATGAGTTTTTAGCCTATGATCAATACCCCACACTTAGACCATTGCTCGTCCTCGAGCAATTAACATACATTTCACATAAGAACGACCTTTTTATCAATCAATTTTTCTAACAACACATGCCGACACTTAAGTAACAATTTATAATAGTTCAACCTCAAGACATGACTCACAAGTGCCATGCATTTTCATAACTTGCTCACTTACTCTAACACTAAGGTCAAAACGTTTCCTTGCTTTCACAAATCATGTGCCCTCCCACAACTAATATAGACTAGTTCCTCTCAACATAGTATTCACAAATATTTAGGAACTCAAAATAGGAAGAATTAACTCACCCTCAGAATTGAAATTCATGTGCAACAAATCACATACCATATGCTTGCCCCTAGTGTAATACTCTATTAATTGAGCTTATTCAATCAAAGATCAAA